TAACAGGAAGCAAGCCAGCCCTGCAGTCTTCCCTGTTCATTCGCCAATTAGAGATTGAGTTTCCACCGATAACGTTTGGTAATGTTTTCGTAAAAATACTAATGTTCAATGAGAATCCACTGAAGATAAATGATTTGTAATATTCGAACTTTGTAAATGCTCCTGGTCAAATATCTGAAGTTTTCCGATTGATAAGCGTTATAACAATCACAGTTATAGCTTCCGAAGTTTATAGCACTCCAATTACAGTAACCCAATAATAGATACTCCTTTTTGTGGCATCCCATTAATTATATTTATAGGTGTGTGGAGAGTTTCTAGAAAATTCAGATTATGTAACAATACAAAGCTACACTATCGTTGATTTTTACACTCGAGAATCTTCTATAATTTTAGAGAATAGGCGGAAGTTTCGCAATACATATTGAACAGTATTAGTTATGTACACTTGTAAATATAAATTTAATTCAAGCAAACATTGATATTAGAATAAATATATAACAATGAATTCGTCATACTGTATACAGGCACAATACATTTTATACATCTTTCTTCTTCTTGCCAGTCATTTCTTCACTTATGCTGCGGTCCTTGTACGTCTCATCCCCACCCAGTAGGTCTTCTATAAAGAAGTCACTTGCTTCTGGTTCTGCATATGTGACAGCCACATCTGCCATGTCCATTTGTACCTCAAGAGCTGCACTTGTAAGGTCTTCTTCTCTCTCAAAGTACCTATTCAATAGATTGGTATGGCAGACCTTGGTCATCCCATCCACTTTTACCTTAAATTGCATTCTGTTGATCACTTTCTGTATTGCAAAAGGTCCTTTCCACTGCCGGGTGAGTTTGTTGTTGGCTGTGGGTAGTGGAACTAAGACCTTATGTCTGACCTCGAAACGTCGATCCTTGGCCTTCTTGTTATAAAAGTTTTTCTTACTGACTTTGATGGGTTTGGCTTCCACAGTAGAACTGTTCTGATAGGTCCAGTTCAATAGTCCTTTCTGGTACTCTGTTTTGTAAGTCTCTTTCCATTTTGTCTTTTGTTCCACTTTTTCTCAAGCACTGTCCCAAAGTTTCTGCAGAGACGGGTCTTTCTTTCGAGCTTACTTCCATTCCCATAAATCTACATTCGGGATGTCATTCTTTGGTACTTGCAAGGGCTTAATGTCTTACTTTATCTTCTTCCCTTGAGCTCTAGTGGTGACTTCAGACGCTTCATCCATCATCTTTCTGTATGGTTTCTCCAAATTCCTACTATTTGGCATGTTTCCAATCACCAAGTCATATAATGGTGCCTTCATACACACATGGCTTCAAGGTCTCCTACATAATATGGAGTATCCACCTTTATTTTTGCTATGGGAAACTTTCTCACTGTCACATCAATTAGCCCACACAGGCACACCTCGCCTGTCATCTGATCATCAGATAATAGACTGGTTCTCACTGCTGCACTACTTTCTTGTCCTCAACATATCCTTTACCTATTGGCATGTTGTGATTTGTTGGCATCTCTCAATATTTTTAACTTGCTACAATCACTACTGGTACTGTTGATCCATTTGCTAACTTCAGCTGATCATTAGTCATACACTGATCAATCATGGTAATGGCACTTTTTTCTTGTGGTGAATCTGACGTGTTTTCTTGATTCTGTTTCTTCTGCCAGCAGTATCTATGGTGACAGTCATTGTTTTCTTTTTTTCTTACCAGCACTATCTTTGTAAGTAGCTCCGGCTGCTTTATAATGAGATTTCTTCTGTTACTTGTTGGTAATGGACTTGCACTCCTTTGCAATGTGCCCTATTTTATAACAAATATAGCATCTCTTCTCCTTTGGTAGGCTCCTGCTCCTGATCAGCCACCAATGGTTTTGACTTTAACTGGATATTCTTAGACTTAACGGTTATACTCCATCCATGGGCTCCCATAGACTGTTCTGCCAGCTTGCTCATCTCGTTCATGTCTTTTGGTGCTCTATCCTTTAGGAACAGTGACATGTCAGTTGAGCACGTGCTCATGAACTGTTCTCTTATTATTAGTTCTGCCAGTCCATCAAAACTATTTTCACACTTGGCCATGTCATTTCATTTTGTGAAGTATCACGTGCCACAAACTTAAATACTGTTTCTCCAGTGTCAGGTTTGACTGCTCTCAACTTCTGATGAAAACCTTCTTCCGTAAGTTCATATCGTTCCAGCAAGCCACTTTTAATTTGTCATAGTCCATGGCATCTTCTGACGTCATTCCTGCATATACTTGTAGGCCTATTCCTGTGAGAAGTGGGCTGAGACAGATTGCCCAATCTGACTTTGGGCGAATCTTTCACATCTCTTCAAGAAAGTATCCATTTCATATTTCTGTTAATCAAATTTGGGTAGTTTGGGTTGGCTGGCCCTGACCCCATTGTCCTTCTTGGGTCCTTCCTCTTTCTGCTGGGTGAGCTTGGTGATCTCAATTTACGCTCTTATTCTCTGTATTTCCAGTCTCTCCACTCTCTCTCTTTCTTTTTCTCAATTTGTGCTCTTATTCTCTCTTTCTCTGTTTCCAGTCTTTCCTTTCTCCCATTCTCTTCTTCCTCTCTTTGTCTTCTTATCCTTTCTCTCTCTCTATTTCCAGTCTTTCCTTTTTCTTCTCTCTCTCCTTTCTTCCTCTCTTTTCTACCTATGCTCTTCTCTCTCTAGTTCTTGTTGTTGTTGAACAAACTCTCATAGTTCACTGTCTTTTAACCCAAGATGCTCACCTATTTTTATCCATTTATTAAAATCTGTTGACATGGTTATATAGGGTTATTGTAATCTCTACACTATTTTTTGCCACTACTACAGTTGTGTGTATATATAGGCCTACTTATTTTCGCTGTCGTTCACGTCGTCATCTACCGCCATTTACCACATGTATAATCCTGCCAGCTCACCAAATGTCATAGTTTTAAATATAAGTGGGCTTGGATTCTTATACAATAGGTGTCTGTGAATTGTTGGCGATAAATTATAAATTCGAACAATAAACGGACAGCACATAATCCACTTGTTTTAAAATAATATATCCAAAACAAGTCAAACGTATGTGCAAGAAGTCTTTACACTATAGTATATCAAAGTTGTATCAAAAACTCTAAATAATTATATTTTCTTGTTAGAAGTTCACACGGGCTAATTCAATTACTTTTGAATCCAATTGACAAAAAAAAAACTATTTTCCGCTACTTTGTTTCTTAATGTACAATCTGCGATAAATTCACTTGCGTTACCTCATGGGTTACCACAGTTGCATCCAGAAATTTAAGTGATTATCTCCTTTTCAT